TGCTACAAAGTACGGCAAATCAGGAAAATAAGCTAGATGATAGGTAACTTGGAGTGATCAGAAAAGGCCTCTGAAAAAGTACGTTTGAGCTGAGACTTGAAGAATAAGTGTCAGCCACTTGAAGAATAAGAGTCAGAATTTCCAGAAGATGAGCGTTTTAGGCAAAGGGAATTGCAAAGCCAAAAGCCCTGAGATCAGAATGAATTGGCATGATCCTGAACCCACGTGAAAGTCAGTGTGGTTGAAGTCTATTAATCTGGGGGAAAGCCAGTAGGAGAAAAGAGGTAGGCAGGGGCTAGGGAAGGGAGTTTAGACTTTATTTTTTATTCTTTTTAAATTTTTTGTAGAGATGGGGTCTTACGATGTTGCCTGGGCTGGTCCAGGACTCCTGGCCTCAAGCAGTCCTCCTACTTCTACCTCCCAAAGTGTCAGGATTACCGGTGTTAGCTACCACACCTAGCCTAGTTTGGATATTATTCCAAGTACAATCATAAGTCACTGGAGGATTTGAGGATTTTATATATATATATATATATTTTTTAGACACGGTCTCACTCTGTCATCCAGGCTGAGTGTGGTGCTGAGATCACAGCTTACTGCAGCCTCCACCTCCTGGGCTGAAATGATCCTCCCTCCTCAGACCTCTGAGGTAGCTGAGACTACAAGCGTGAGCCACCACACATGGCTAATTTTTTTTTTTTTTTTTGTAGAGATAAGGTCTCACTATATTGCCCAGGCTGGTTTCGAACTCCAGGACTCAAGCGATGCTCCTGCCTCAGCCTCCCAAAGTGCTGGGATTATAGGCATGAACTCCTGCACCTGGCCCACTGGAGGATTTTAAACAAGGGAGTGACATGATATGATTTATGTTTTTAAAAGCTTGCATTGGCATCTCTGAGGACAATAAATAAGAATTTGAAAGCAGATGAATCGAGACCAAGTAAGAGCCTCTTAGAGTGGGCTAAGTGAGAGAGTGGTGATGGCTTTGAGTGGAATGGGAACTGAGGAGGGGAAGAGAAGAAGACTCAGGATCTATGTTTTGGAGGTAGAGTTGATCAGCAGGTTAGCATGTGAATGGAGTAGAAAGAGTGGAAGGAGGAATTAAACATGACTCCTAGGATTTTGGCTTGAGCAACTGGGTGGATAGTTGAAATGGAGAAGACTGGAGAACAGGTTTAGTGGGGAAATTCTATTCTGGATATGTCATGTTTAATATGCCAGTTGATATCTAAGCCAAGATTGTTTTTTGAGAGAGGGACTTGCTCTGTCACACAGGTTGGAGGGCAATGGCTCAAACATGGCTCAACTTCCTGTCTCAGATTCCTATGTAGCTGGGGCCATAGGCACATCTAGCACACCAGGCTAAGTTTTTGGTATTTTGTAGAGATGGGGTCTCACTTTGTTGCCCAGGCTGGTCTCAAACTCCTCTGCTCAGGCAATCCTTCCATCTTTGCCTCCCTAAGTACTGGGATTATAGGTGTGAGCCACAGTGCCTGGTCCCTGAAGTTAAGATTTCAAATAGGCAGTTGGATTTAAGAAGTCAGAGCTCAAGGAAGAGACCAGGCTAGATAAATAAATTTGGGAGCCATTACTACATGGATGGAATTTTTAAGTCAGTGGGGTACATAGGCAGACAAGAACATCTGGGAAGAATTTAGAGTTCTCAGTTATTTGGTTATGGGGCAGAGGAAGAAGAACCAGCAACGTTTTATCTCTCTCTCTCTCTCTATCTATCTATCTATCTACATCTACATACGGAGAAAGTAACATATACTATGTAACTGTAACTATGCATGTGTGTGTCTGTGTATGTATATATATACATACCTATATACATATATGACTTTTTTTCTGAACTGTTTTAAGAGTAGCTTATAGACATGATATCCTTTTCCCTCTAAACACTTCGGAGTATGTATGTATATATATAAATATATATGTGTATATATACAGTCATGTGTCACTTAATAATGGGGATATGTTCTGAGAAAAATGCATCTCTGGGTGATTTCATCATGGTGGGAACATCACAGAGTGTACTTACGCAAACCTAGATGGTATAGCCCAGGCTATAAACCTGTATAGTGTGTTACTATACTGAATACTGGAGGTAATTGTAACACAATGGTAAGTATACACACACACACACACACACACACACACACACACAAGCAAACACACACACACATACACACACACAGAGAGAGAGAGAGAGAGAGAGACAGATTGAGAGTGTGTGAGAGAGAATATGAAGACAATGTAGTAAAATGTTGCTATATTGGGACTCTGGATGATTCCTGGAATCCAAAACTCTTTGTTCCACTTTTGCTCTCTCTATGTGTGTACCTGTAAACCTTTCACAACTTTTCTGTCAGTCTGAAGTATTGTCAAAATAAAGTGGTGCAAACCTAAGGTGGAAGATGACCTCACTCTGGACTAGGTCAGAAATCTTGTAAGACATAATATTCAGCTGGATTTATATTTAGAAATTCAAAGGTGATGGGCAGGACATTTTGCTAGTGGGAGTAGCATGAGAATGCCATAGAGGTGGCAAACAGCAGGGTTTGTTCAGGGAATGAATAGCAAGTGATTCTCTGATTCAAATGATTCAAATGGATTCTGAGCAACATTAACAGTCCAGTGGGATAAATTTGAAATGGAATTGGCTCAATTTCTTGTCTTTTTTTCTGGCAATGTTGAGCAAGCTAGGAAAACAGAAAAAAGAGAAGGTTAGAGATGAGCAAGTTAAGTACAGCAAGAAGGACAAGAGGCCAAGGAGAATGGTATTAAAATAGTTTCTCTTCAGGTTGGGCTGGGAAAGAGCAAGTGAGGCTTAAAGGAGGATGGGCCATGTTTGGGAAGAGATGCAGGAAAGGCCAATAACAGGCTCTGGAAATCTTAGACTAGTCACAGTCTTGTTTCCTCATCTGTTATTTTAAGGAGCTGGATTAGGTGATCTGTAAATTCCCTGACAGCTCTAAGGTTTTGTTTTGTTTTGAGATGAAGTCTCACTGAGTAGCCTAGGCTGGAGTGCAGTGGTGCCATCTCAGCTCACTGCAACCTCTGCCTCCTGGGTTCAAGTGATTCCCCTGCCTCAGCCTCCTGAGTAGCTGGGATTACAGCTGCACCCCACTGTACCCAGCTAATTTTATGTATTTTTAGTAGAGACAGGGTTTCACCATGTTGGCCAGGCTGGTGGTTTTGTTTTCTTTTGTTTTAAAGTTCCTTTCTCTTGGACTCCTTTTAAAAATAGATTGAGCACTTATGCTCAATGTTGATTGGAGTCCATGTGTGGCCATACATGTGGGTGGATGAGAAGGGAGGAGAGGGTCAGTACCGTTGGAAAGTTTGAGGAATGGTGAGGTCAGAGTATAGGAAGGAGGCTAGGTGTGGTGGCTCATGCCTGTAATCCCATCACTTTGGGAGGCCAAGGCAGGCAGATTATCTGAAGTCAAGTGTTTGAGACCAGCCTGGCCAATATGGTGAAACCCTGTCTCTACTAAAATATAAAAAATTAACCTGGCATGGTGGTGGACACCTGTAATCCCAGCTACTTGGAAGGCTGAGGCAGGAGAATCACTTGAAACTAGGAGGCAGAAGTTGCAGTGAGCTGAGACAGTGACACTGCACTCCAGCCTGGGCAGCAGAGCAAGACTCCACCTCAAAAAAATAAAAAAACAGGCCGGGCGCGGTGGCTCAAGCCTGTAATCCCAGCACTTTGGGAGGCCGAGGCGGGTGGATCACGAGGTCAAGAGATCGAGGCCATCCTGGTAAACATGGTGAAACCCCGTCTCTACTAAAAATGCAAAAAAAGAAATTAGCTGGGCATGGTGGCGCATGCCTGTAATCCCGGCTACTCAGGAGGCTGAGGCAGGAGAATTGCCTGAACCCAGGAGGCGGAGGTTGCGGTAAGCTGAGATCGCGCCATTGCACTCCAGCCTGGGTAACAAGAGTAAAACTCCGTCTCAAAAAAAAAAGAAAAAGAAAAAAAAAAAGAAAATCAGTAAGTTCATGACAGACATCAATGCGGTACAATGAACCTGTTACATTCTCTTTTATCAAATTTAAGAAGATTTGTGGCCATGCCTGTAATCCCAGCACTTTGGGAGGCCAAGGTGGGTGGATCACCTGAAGTCAGGAGTTCAAGACCAGCCTGGCCAACATGGTGAAACCCCGTCTAAAAAAAAAATACAAAAATTAGCTGGGCATAGTGGCAGGCACCTGTAATCTCAGCTACTTGGGAGGCTGAGGCAGGAGAATCATGGGAGGCACAGATTGTAGTGAGCAGAGATTGCACCACTGCACTAGGTGACAGAGCAAGACTCTGTCTCAAAAAAACAAAAAGATTTGTAAAATGTCTATTTGCATGGGAGAAAAATTTAAGATGTTATATTTGATGTTCAGTAAGGGGACTCTGATATTCAGGAAACACTGGCTGCTGTTATTTCTGTAATATTTAAGAGTGACTTCTATGGTATCAATAAAAAATTAAGTTTTGTAAAAATAACTAAGAAATCTAGGTATGGAAAAGTTATCAATATAAAAAGTATAGTGTGATAAGTACATAAAATAATGCTTCCTCTTTATGAAAAGATTTACTATAGTCCTTTAAATATGAATTCTATTAATATCCTTATTAACCATGTGAGAAAATAAAAAGGAGATTAAAGTTGTATGCATTTTGAGATTAGTCTATTGAATAAAGGAGTTATGCCTGTAGTTGCACTGGTTTTTGGAAACAGTATAATATGTTCAGAAAGTACCATACGTTTATACTCACTCTGGAATCTGAAACATCTTCATCAATTAAATTAGAAAAAAAAATCTATGTGACACTAAGAATCATTAATAGTAGAGATTAGTACCATTAATCATTAATAGTAGAGAGTAGTAACAAGTAAAATAGCCCTTTTCAATAACATATTGATAACATCCTTTTATGGTTCTTGTTTCTTCGTTATAATAAATGTGTAAAAGAAGTGGCCCTTTAGCCAGGTAACCTGAAGTAGAGAACTGGAGTTTAGTTCTTCTTGCCACTGCCTTATGATTAAGTCTTGGCCTTTTCTCTCCCTGTAAAAATAAAAAGGTTTGTGTTATTGTATTACTTTATGAATCAAATGAGAATGTGTGTGACTGTATTTTAAAAATTTTTTTGAAAATATGCAGCATTTGGAGGGTCCTTGTTGCAGTCCATGCTTTAAAACGTTTGTGTTTTTCAGCCCTTTTATCAGCAAAAGACATGATTATTATTTCCTTTGTTTAAAAGAACAGTTTTTAGAAAGAGCAAATACTCATTTTCCAGGGCTACCTTTAATCTCTAGTTATTTCTACTTCAGACTCTTGTTTCTATTCTTAAAAATGTAATACGTTGTGGTCTTTATTTACATAACTTGGGAAGTTTTGTGTTTTATTTGAATAAGTAGGGAAGACACTTCTGATGACTTAGGCCAATCCCTTAGCCTCATCACATCTCAGTTTCCCCATCTCTAAAATAGGAAAAAGAGTTACCCTTGTATTCATTTATTTAACAGGTATTTACTGCACTCATGTGCCAGAAAAAGCTGGGTTACAGCTATAAACAAGTCCCTGCCCTGCCATAGCTTATACTCTAGTAGGAAGGCCTAGATAATAAACATAAATACATAACCAAAATAATGTCAGATAGTGGTAAATGTGATGAAGAAGTCAGAGTAATAGAATGGAAAGTGATTCGTGGGCAGAAATGAGGTGGGTGTCTACCTGATCAAAGAAGTCCTCTTTCAGGAAGTAGCACGTGCAAGCTTAGGCCCAAATAATGAGGATCAGACTTACTAAATCTAGAGGAGGAATGTCCAGGCAGTGTAAAGTCCTTGAGGCAGGAAGGAATTTGGCATTTTTTTATGACCAGAAAAAAGGCCTGAAGCTGGAGACTAGTGTAAAAAAAAAGGAAGAGTATTGTGATGTTAGGAAAATGTTAGTTTATTTGGAGAGGCAGGTAGGGTCCAGATCATGCATAGCCTTGTAGGTATGATAAGGATATTATTGGATATCATTTTAATTGCAATGAAAGACATAGAGCAGCTCCAAACAAGGAATTGGCACTGTAAAATTTACATTTAAAAAATATCCCTCTCTATAAATAAATTACTAAAACTAATTAGATCAGCAACAACAAAGATACACAGGAATACATTTAACAAACAAAAGTTTACAGATCTTTATGTAAGTATGTTATAGACATTTTAGAAGGTATAATGAACATATACCATGCTCATAAATGGGTAGGATTAGTGCCACAAAGATATAAATTATGTGATAAATTCAGTGAAATTTGAATTAAAAATCTTAAGAGGATTTTCTTTCTTTCCTTTTTGGAACTTGAGAATCTGACTCTAAAATTCATGTGGAAGAACAATGAGGCAAAACAAACCAAGTCAAATTGGAATTTGCCCTACTATATATCAACATTTATAATTAAGATAGTGTGATCTTGGGAGATGAATAGATAGATAGACCAGTAGAACAGAATAAAGCCTGACATAGACCTACGTGTACATAAAAAGTTGAGGCTGAACATGATGGCTTACACCTGTAATACCAGCACTTTGGAAGGCCAAGGTGGGAAGATCACTTGAGACCAGGCGTCGGAGACCAGCCTGGGAAACATAGTGAGATCCTGTCTGTACAAAAAATTTTAAAAATTAGTGGGGTGTGGTGGCATGCACCTGTTTGTCCCAGTTACTTGGAAGGCTGAAGTGGGAAGATTGCTTGAGGCCAGGAATTTGAGGCTGCAGTGAGCTATGATTTTGCCACTGCACTCCAGTCTGGGTGACAGAGAAAACCCTATCTCAAAAAAATAAAATAAAATAAAGAAAGAACAGTTGGGTACGCACGGTGGCTCGTGCCTGTAATTCCAGCACTTTGGGAGGCCTAGGTGGGTGGATCACTTGTGGCCAGGAGTTCAAGACCAGCCTGCCCAACATGGCAAAACCCTATCTCTACTAAAAATATAAAAATTAGCTGGGCATGGCGGCATATGCCTGTAGTCCCAGCTACTTGGGAGGCTGAGGCAGAAGAATCACTTGAACCTGGGAGGCGGAGGTTGCAGTGAGCTGAGATCACGCCACTGCACTCCAGCCTTGGCAACAGAGTGACACCCTGTCTTGGTGGGGGGAAAAAAGTTAATAAATTATAAAAGTGGCATTATAGGTCAATGAGAGAAAGGATGGACCACTTCATAACTGCTGTTAAGACAACTGGTTATTCATACAAAAACAAGATCAATCCAGATAAAGACCAAAGCATGAAGAGCCATACTTTAAAATATTTAGAAGAAAGTACAGGAGAACATCTTTATTATCTCGGGGTATGGAAAGATGTCTTAAGGCATAAAAAACACAAACTCTAAAGGAAGATATATATGGTATATGTATGTGTGTGTGTGTATGTGTGTGTGTTATATACACATATATGTGTATATATAACATATGTGTGGATATATGTATATAACATATGTATATATCACATATACACCTGTGTATATAACAAAACATGTTATATATATGATATATACATATATATCATATGTTATATACACACACGTTATATATACATGATATATATGATATATATACATATATAACGTGTGTGTATATATAACATACACACATATACATAACATTAGTTACATATGTAACATGTTTAATGTAACTGTTATATATATGTGTATATAACATATACACATATATATAACATTAGTTATATATGTTATATATATAAACAGTTATATGTATGTTATGCACACACACACACACACACACATATAACATTAGTTACATGAAACACTTCTGTACATCTGAGACATCATAAAGTAAAAAGACAAGCCACAAACCAAAAAATTGTCAAACCAAAAAAAACAACAAAGTTTATTTTCCTGGAAAATAGTAAACAACCAACAAACCCCCTATGAATCAATAAGAAAAAGGCAAATAATTGCATAGAAAAATGGGCAAAGGATATAAAGTTGAAAATCACAGAAAAGGAAAACTGAAAGTCCAATAAGTATGAAATTATGTTCACCTTCACTAGAGATAAGAGAAAGGCACTCAAAGAAGAATGATGAAATTTAAAATGTATCTATATATTGGGGAGGAACCAGAGCAACAGCCAGGGTCGTATACCACTGACTGGAGTATCAATTGTTATGACCATTTTGAAGAGCAGTTTATTTTTAATATCTGGTAATAATATTGAAATAAGCTACTAATTCCTAGGTATATTGCTCTAGAGAAAGTTTTGCAAGTGCATGTAAGGGATAGTCATGGCATCACGGGATCTTTGGAATGATAAACTGGAATTAAGCTAAATGTTCATTAACAGGATAATGTGTACATAAATTACAAGTATATTTATATAATAGAATTTAGCAGTGAACATGAATGAAATGCAGCTATAGTTATTAGTAAGGATAAATCTCATGAAGATATTATTGGGCTAAAAAAAGTTGCAGAAAAACTTATATACTGAAAATAAAATTTACATAAAATACTAGATATTGTTATGGATATATATGCTGATGTGATAAAAGTATACATATTTCTATGGGAATGATAAACATCAAATCAAGAGAGTTTGACCCTGGAAGAGTGGGAAGATGAATGAGAATAGGGAGGGACACACAGGAGACTTCAATTGCAGGTGGGATGTTTTATATATTTTTTAAGCTAGATGGCTGGTACATGGTTATGTTTTATTATTCACATCTTTGTTGTATTTCATAAATTTTTTTGTTTTTTAATTTTTTGGTTATTTTTTATATAACAATTTTTAAAAAGATAAAAATCATTCTAGCTTAGAAATTGAAGAATGAACTACCAGGGATTAAGAATGAAAGGAGGGCTGGGCGCGGTGGCTCACGCTTGTAATCCCAGCACTTTGGGAGGCCGAGGCGGGTAGATCACGAGGTCAAGAGATCGAGACCATCCTGGTCAACATGGTGAAACCCCGTCTCTACTAAAAAAAAAAAAAAAAAAAAAAAAAAAAACAAAAAAAAAAAAAAAAAAAAAGAATGAAAGGAGATATGGTAGAAGACAATTGCAGTACCCTAGGAGAGTAGACTTGAATATCTACCATAGTTTCTGGCACATAGTAGGTATTTCAGTCTTAGAAGCTATTTACTTGTGAAGGTTGCCATTATTGCTATCACCATCATCATCAAGGTAAAGACCAAAGACATAGTGGGATCATGAGGAAAGATACACTAAATGTCTTGAGTAGCTTTCTTATGCTAGGTGCTTTATCTCTTTCAGTCTTAATTAGAATACAGTTGAGGTAGTTACAAAGAAACGAAAGCTAATTGAAGTGATAGCCAGAAGGCACAACGGCTACATATATTTCTAATGACTCATTTTCCAACACTGTTTAAAACAGGCAGAAACGCCCCAAATACATACACCTCTTTGAAAAAAATTCAAGCATCTTTTTCCCTTTGTTCATAAGTAGCACATTCTGGGTTAAATATTAATAATTCCATATACTACACATTTGGACAGTGCCTTATTACTTATTACAGAATACTTTTGGATTATGTCTCTCCATTTTTCATCTGCCCCTCCTAACAACTCTGAACAAATCAGGGCAGATGATTATTATACAGATGAGTAAACTAAAATACAAAGAGGCTAAATCAGAGGTTATTGGCTTGGTGTCCATGAACTTCACAAAATCCTGTTAAATAGTTTACTATTAAACTGTCATTTTTCTAGGTAGAGGGCCAGTTTTAATCTATTTTCAAAGGAGTCTGTGACTTCCTCCAAAAGTTAAAAAAAAATCCCATGGGTTAACCGATTTGGCTAACCTGGAAAAGCCCTGACCCCTTGCCCCTTGCCCTGATTTCAGTTACCTATAACCTATCTTACAAAAATTCAAATAAAAATATTAGTAAATGCTTTTTGTAATGTTGACTGACTGCTAGATGGATATATTATTAAACATATTGAAACCCCTTGGGAGGATTAGTTATGTTTTGTTCAGCTAATGGGCAGTCACTTTTCTCAGATGAACAAATCAAGAACTGTCCTTTTTATCTGCACAGACTTGTCATAGAAGAAATGAATCTGATAAAGAAATTATGTAACCTATCTTACAATTTGGGGTACTCTACAAAGAATAAGCAGGGGACACAGCTTCAGTTAGGGATGGAAAACGGATCATGAGCTGAGAAGGGGATTTTCATTTCCCTTGGACCAGTTCCTTAACGTTTTCAAGCGTCCCTTCTTTGAGCTGTAAAAGGAAGGATTGAACTAGCTCGAGGGCATGTCAGAATTCCTCCCGCTCTAACACTGGGCACAGTTCGAGTTTAAAATAAAAAAATTGTGCAGAAACGCTTCACAGTCCGTTAATTTCAGCTTTATTTCATTGGCCCAGGGTGTCGGGGACCCATCTGACTTGCCTTTTCTGAGGGCCAGGCCTGCAGTCCCCCTTTTGGGGACTAGGAGTTGGGTGTGACCGGGAAGAGAGAGCTACTGAAGGCCAACCGGCCAGCAGCACCTGAAACACAAGGGCTCTCAATTCTTTTTTTTCTTTTTTGAGGCGGGATCTCACTCTGCCGCCCAGGCTGGAGTGCAGTAGTGAGATCACAGCTCACTGCAGCCTTGACCTCCTGGGCTCAAGCGATCCTCCAGCTTCAGCCTCCCCAAATGCTGGGATTATAGGGATGCGCCACTACCCCTGGCCTTAATACTTTATTTAGGAATGAAGGAAGGCGGGAACGCCCAAACGCTGTTGGTGCGAAGCAAACGCCTTAAACAGAGAGGAATGTGTGGGTGTTGGAGGCGGAGCCGGGAACCAGAGGAGGTTGGAGAACACGGATTGCTCCGCTGCCCGCCTCCACCCTGCGGCCAGGGCTGGGAGGGAGCCGGGAAAGAGGTGTGGCCGCCCCTGGGAACCACCAGGCCCGGCGCGGCCACGTGACCGAGCGCAGGGGCGGGGAGAGGGCGCCTCCGCCCCGCCCAGCGCGCATGCTCGCGGCTCGGCGCTGAAATTCAAATTTGAACGGCTGCAGAGGCGAAGTCTGACGCTGGAAGCCGAGGGGTAGAGGACAGCAGGTTGTGGGAGAGTTCCCCCGTCTCAGACGCCTGTTTTTTCCCAGGAGCTACACTGAGCCGAGACTCACTTTTCTCCTCCTGAATTTGAACAACCGTTTCCATCGTCTGGTTGTCCGACGCCTGGGGCGATGGATCCGTTTACCGAGGTGAGAGCGTCTGCCGGTGCAGCCAGCCATGACCCACCGCTGTGTGCCCCAAACTTCCCTCTGTCAACCTCTAGGAGAACCCCCACCGGGCGCAGGGCCCGTGCGTGCGCATGCGCAGTGTGTGCGGGCGGGGGTCGGCGGGGGTCGGGATGGGGAAGCCGAGAGGGGACTGCGGGTGCAGCCTGCAGTCGTTGGCGGGTTTGTCTGCGATTTTGTTCCGGTCCTACAGATAAAACTCAGGGAGGAGGGCTTTGAGTCTGTCCTAAAAGGCGGTAGTGAGGTCTTTTAGCCCCAGTTTCTACCACTTCCCTCTGCAGTCGTGGCCCAGCAAGAGCGAGGCGCGCGCCTGCGGAACGGGTCCTGATGGAAGCCACTGGAATGTCCTGCAGGGAGGAGTCTGGGGCCGGTGACTCAGTGCGGCCGCCGCCGGGAAAGGCTGTGGGATGTGTGATTTGCGGAGTTGACGGGGCTCGCAGAGGAGCTGTTAGTGAAATGACAGCAAAACGTTAAAATAAGCAGGTGCTAGAGACCACTGCATTCGTTCATAAAAAGTCAGTAGTTCCTTGAAATCCCATTAGCTAACTAGCCAAGAAGTTCATACCCGGGACTGACATTGTAATTGGAAGGAAAGAACGCATGTGTACAGACCAGAACCATGAGCTCACGATTTTGGAGCAAAGAAATAAACCTTTCGGTGTTTATGGGGCATGTCTTTACAGTACTTATTTCATCTTTTGTTCCTTTGAGATAGGATATGGATTACATCGTTATTGTGTGGATTTCTCTAGCTTTAGCTTTTGTGGAGACTGTACCTTGTCACATTCGGGAGCGTCTTGTTGCCAGTTGTCCACTCCCTTTTATTCCAGGATGGTTCCTGTTTCTTGAGGCTGTTGTGCAAGTTTCAAACTGTTATTTTTTCAGTGTTGCAAAGTGGACCAAAAACTGTTTACACTGATTCGAAAACTTAAATGCTGTGAAGAGTAGTAATTTCAGGGAGATGTAATTATGACTCTATAAGTTTTGTGTAAGATTGTAATTACAGGTTTCAGCAATTAGAGTTTACTTGTATTCAAACATGACAATCTATTTTTCTGTTTAAAATTCTTAATCATCTTGGGGAAAATACATCAATTTTTTCCACCTTCCTTAAAGGTTCTAATAGAAAAATCGAGAGGGTATTATTGTATTAACCTTAAAATAGGGCTGGTCATACACCAAATATCTTTCATTTACACTGAGGTTGAAAAGGGTTTATTTATTTTATCTAACCTAGAATAGGATTCCTTAAAACATTAGCCGTATGTGTCCTCCTAAGTAGCTGACAGGAACAAAGCATTTTTAAGTTGGCTGAAAATTGCATTTCATTTTACTTAAAAATGTAATTCTGAAGGTAGTACAAATCTCAACTGAAAGAAACTTTACTTGTTTAGATCGTTTTAATAATTTTGTGCTCAGAAATATGTTTGGTTTATATTATGAAAAGTTAGATCACTTGCAGTTGGAATAAACAGCTTAGACATCTTTTCCTTAATAGGTAATGAGTTAACTACTTGAATTGAGTCCAACTCTTGAGTGCTTAATTATAGCATTCATAACATTTGTATGGTGAAGTGAACTACTGGTACAGTTGTCTATGAAGGACTGAAATTCACTGTAAAATGACTTTCTCAACTAGGATTCCCTCTCAGAACCATGGTACACAGAAAAATTGAGAGACTATTTTATTTTCTCAATTATCCCAAGGATAATTCAATGCCATCCTACAAACATGGGGAATAAGTTAGTCTATTACATTAATGCCAGGGTATTAGGGCTTAATTTTTTTGGTAACTCCAGTTAAGAAAGCTTACAATCATGGTAAACTCTAATTTTGTCAAACAAGACTGTTCTGCATTGGTCTTCCTCCCTGCTGTCGCTGATAATATTCCGGCACTCTTTCTTTCTTTCTTTTTTTTTTTTTTCAGACGGAGTCCTGCTCTGTCGCCCATGCTGGTGTGCAGTGTCGTGATCTCAGCTCACTGCAGCCTCCTTCCCGGTTCAAGCAATTCTCCCTGCCTCAGCCTCCTGAGTAGCTGGGATTACAGGTGCCTGCCACCAGGCCCGGCTAATTTTTGTATTTTTAGTAGAGACGGGGTTTTGCCATATTGGCCAGGCTGGTCTCGAACTCTTGACCTTAGGTGATCCGTGTTCTGGCACTCTTTCTATTTCTGCTTCATCTGCCTGGCAAACTCTGATTTGACCTCCATTTGTCCAATTTTGATCTCCCTTTAGAAGAGAGATCATTTTTCATGGTGCTCATCACGCTTATATTTACCTGATGAATGCATTCACCTGTTGAACATATTTCCTGCCAGAATATGAGCTTCATAAAGGCAGGGACTATTCTTTTCTATTCTGAGATATTTTCTCTAACATCAAGCGATCCAATTACATTTTGCTGAATTAACATAGAAGAGAACTGTTAGGTGCCAGTTAGTTTACAAGCAATTAAACACAACAGTAAGAGAACATTTTAGTTTGTTCTTTTTTTATTGAAGATTTCAAAACACACAAGAATAGAATAATAACCCTTTATGCGTCTGTCACACAGCTTTTGCAGTTATTAACATGTGGCCATACTATTTCACTATATCCCCCTTTCACTCATCCCACTGAATTATTTTGAAGCAAATCCTAGGCATCAGATAATATCATGAATACTTCAGTATTTATCACTAAATGTTAATAACTTTATTTAAAAAAAATTTTTTTTGAAATAGAGTCTCGCTCTGTTGCCCAGGCTGGAGTGCAGTGGGACAATCTTGTCTCACTGCAACCTCCGCCTCCCGTATTCAAGTGATTCTCCTGCATCAGCCTCCTGAGTAGCTAGGATTACAGGTGTGCGCCACCACACCCGGCTAATGCTAATGACTTTTCTAAAAAAACAAATATGATGCCATTATCACACCTAAAAAATTAAAAATTCCCTTAATGTCAAATATTTTGTCAATGTTCAGACTTCCCCAGGTGTTTCACATTTTAGCTGTTTGCTTAAATCAGGATATAGACAGGGTCTACTGAGGAATGTCTTTAATATTCTTTTTGGATCACTCAGAAATAAAAAATGAATCCATCTCTTACTGAGTCATATACTAACAAGCAGGCCAGACATCTACTATGATCAGCTGACAGCATTAAAGTTTTATTGGCTGGGTGTGGTGGCTCACACCTATAATCCGAGCACTTTGGGAGGCTGAGACGGGCAGATCACCTGAGATCAGGAGTCTGAAACTAGCCTGGCCAACATGATGAAACTTCGTCTCTGCTAAAAATACAAAAATTAGCCAGGCGTGGTGCTGGGCA